ACACATTGCCTAGGCATTCTATAAAACCGGGGTGGGCATTACGTCGATAGCGATCGGCCGGTGGACCGCCAAGACATTTTGGGGTGACCGCCTGAAGATTTTAGCAGGTAGTAATTATGTACGGAAAATTCAAGATTGGCTGACAGTACGCAGACTATATACACTGCTGGACAATTGCTAAGGACGGACAACACTATCATCCAAAGCAACCACAAAATGAAAGGAAGCAAAATGTGGAAAATTAGAATAAGTGCGGGATATTAGTAAGAAGAAGTATGAGTATGCAAATTTTTTCCCACGTCTGTTCATCACGTGATAGCGTTCATAAGAGCTTTAAAGGTTTTGACGCGTGTGGACAGTTGTTGTTTCAAGTCAAAGTTTTACAGGAAAGATTTAATAGACGAACTTAAAATTTTTGGCATGTCTTCCCGACATCACATCGATGATTTTATGCGTGGCCGAATTATTGGAAAGATCGAAGAAGGGCGAAAAATAACAGATGTTGCCAGGAGTTCGACATCACTCTCAGCGTTGTTTCACGGCTGTGGAAGTCATTTAAATCTACTGAAATGTGTGGTAGACGGCACGGGGGAGGTCGTGTTAGAAGTACGACGCCTGCAGAAGACAGATATATCGTCCTATCAGCAAAAAGGAACAGGCGCACCACAGCTCAGCAGGTGGCAAATCAGTTTCTTGCTGCCTCAGGAAAGCAGATCTCCCGAAAACTGTTGCCAGACGTTTGAGGGGAGAAGGACTATACGCACGCAGACCTGTTGTGTGTGTCCTATTGACCAGACAGCACCGTACGGCCCGTTTGCAATGGTATCGTGAGCATCACAATTGGACTGAACAAGACTGGGCATGCGTACTATTCTCAGATGAGAGTAGGTTCAGTCTGTCATCGGATTGTAGACGCCAACTGATCTGGCGCGAGAGTGGTACTGCTTATGGTCCAGAAAATATCCAGGAAAAGGACCGATATCCGACATGCAGTATCATGGTGTGGGCCGGCATCATGATCAATGGCCGCACGCGCCTACATGTGGTTGCGAATGGGACTATGACGGGCCAACGATACATTGATGAAGTTCTACTTCCTCATGTTCGTCTTTTCCGTGGTGCTGTCGGTGATAAATAATTAACATTAATTAATAAAAAAATTCCAATAACAAATACTTAATTACATTTTACATTCTTTTTACATGGGATTATAATTAATTGGAAAAAAAATCAAGGGCTATGAGCCCCCCCCTCCTTGTATGTGTCACTAACACTGGGTGGATCGCAACGCCTTGAAAAAATTTGAAGTAGCCCGTGCCCTGGAAAAGTCTGCCCACCCCTGCTAAAGAATGCCTAATGAAAAACCGGCAAAGTATGAAATACGTCTCCGAGCCGTTTCGAATATTGTGTGGCAAGGCACAAAACTTTTAACGCGTGCCTATGGCTAAGAATTTGTTAATTGCTCATTGTGGTTTGTTCAGGAGTATCAAAATACTTAATTTCATTGAAAGTTGTTCAACAAAAAATGCCATACATGGAGATATATAATAGTTTGTGAAGAGAGAAAATTGCATGTATTCTGTGTATGCTCTTTTCCGCTTTTAGTTCTACATATCTGAATAAAACAGTTCTTAAGTTTAACAGTTTAACAGTTTTTAAGTTCTTATTTTTTATTTGAAAATTTTTCTTTCTTCAATTAGAAAGATATACATTTTGTTTGGTACAATTTTCTTTTTCCTTCACGTATTTTGAATAGTTTTTTAATGGTGTAATGGATGGGCGGTCCCATCCATTAGTGTACGAGAGTTAGAAGGAAAATTAGCTATAGACAAAACAAACACATTTTATTAACAATTCTCAACAACCTAACAAATGTCAACAATCCAAGTTAAGAAAAGCACCGTTAGATTAATATGGGAGCAAACGCAAGGTGAAAGAGATAATTGAAGGTTTCATTATAAATCGGATCACTTATACTCTTAGCACGTCCAGGCAATATACCTTCTAAATATTTGAAAATAAGTTCTAAGTTAATCTAATTCAAGCCGAAACTAATCCAATTTAAATATCAAACTGACGAAATCGTCAATCTTAAATATAACCTTGATTTGCATAATTCGCGTCTTCTTCGGGAAAAAGTTTCCAATACAATAATATTTAAAGCAATAGTTTTACCCCAAGAGGATTAACAGGAGGTACGCGAATAGACCCATTACAATGACACTCTCATTATTTTGTTTGACTAACATTTGAATTTTTTAGAAGTGTACGTCATTGATGCGTCATTGACGCGTTATCATGACCTTATTTCATACTTTGCCTAAACAGCTTTGGTCATTCTATAGAATGCCTAGGCAAAGTATAAAATAATTCTCATATTTCATACTTTACCTTAAAACGCCAGGCATTCTATAGAATGCCGACATTTCATACTTTGCCGGTAACATAAACATTATATACATACGTGTATATGTATATGTACCTACCTCAGTTTTACACGAATTTGTTGGAACTAAATGGTGCCCCCCTCAAATTATTTCTTTATTTAACATGACTGATTTATTTCGACATGATTTCGAATTGCTAATTATTACGGGAAAGGTAAAAAACAGGATTCAAAAGTTAACTGCTAATTTATTTTTGAAGGCTTGAAATGGGGGGATTGTTTGATGAAAATTATTTTTTAAAAAATTAATTCAAACGTTGAGCATGTTCTTTAGATTCCAACAAAGTCTGAAGACTTGTTTTACTGTGTATATGTGTAAGTGCCAAGAATCACGTAAATAGTTTGAAAAACCAAGCATGCAATAAATTTTCTAATAAAAATGTGTTACGTCGCAAAATATTTTTGAGAGTACATTTTCTCAAAGCGTCATTGCGGAACCAAATACTTCATTGGAAGCAAACATAGCGGATGCGGTAAATTTTCCAATAGTGATATCGAGTTTGACATCATCTCGCTATAAATAAATGCTTTTATTACTAACAAGTAGCGAAAAATAATTAATCAACACTATTTCTAGTATTTCTTTTTCGAAGATTTATTTTAAAATGTCTTTTACTTTCACAAACTCATAAATGTTTAGACACAAAACTTATACTCTAGAAACATTTACTTTTTAACTTTTACAAAGTTTTTCAAACGAAAGTTACTTATTTCATTGTACATATGTAAAGGAACTCGGCACACACACACATGCATGAATGGGTTGGTGGTGGGCGCTATTTTCTATCATAATTGATAATTTTGTTGACAAGTTTATAAGATAGTGATTTATGTAATTTACTAAAATGCAGATTGACTAATCAAAATAACTTGTAAAATATGCAGAAAGAAGCATTTGGGTTCTGCTATTGTTGTTACTAATGCTACCTGTCTGGCGATGTCAGATCAAGGCCCACGAAATTCATCGCGGCAAAGTGCTAGATGTACGCCTGTCGTTAGCCGTTGCTTTGAGCACCATGAACGTGATAGCACGTTTTGGCTTGGTTACAGCCCAATTTTTCGGAGAGCACTATAAGGGTAATCAAGCGCCTCCTACCTCTCAAGTGCCTCTTACCTCTCTTCCCCTTCCACAAAGCTCACGAGAAGACTTGTGGATCGACGACTATTTAGAGAACCTCATGCCGCAAGGGCACTATGCATTTACAAATACCCAAGCCTTCTCCGGGATTCGGATCCAGGTCCTACGGCATAGCAGTCAGCGTCGCTAACCAATTTTCCGTATGGGCGATCTCTGGGGTTCTATATTACTTTATTGTTGCTCTCGTCACATATCGACTTCATGTGTTTCTGTTTTTGTTATCCGTCTGGCAGGCAATATTCTCAAAAGCCTTCTCAGGGGGTTACCATATTATCTCTCTTCGGAGAAACATTCATCTTTTTGAATACATTTGTTTCGTATTTTTAGTGTGTATCTTATGTGTAACAAGGCATGCATGAAATTGTACTTTTTGAGTTATTCAAATCCAAATTTCAAACGAAAACGAATGGGATGTTGTTAAAAGCCTACTTTCATGATATTGCTGAATCAAAGCATAAATAAATATTTTTTCTTTTGCTGAGGTGCATAACTATCACTAAAAAATTACTATACGTTACAAGAAAATAATATCAGTTTGTGTTTAGAAATTGACTGTGAAAGGATATTTAGAATGACAGCATAGAGACATTGTTATAAAATGAAACAGATATTTCACATAATAGTAATTTATTGCTTCATTTAGTTTACAAGCATAAAATGAAATCGGTATAAAATGACCTTGATAGATACAGATATCTTTCCGTTGATCTGGAAACTATTAGGCAGCAGGTTCAATAAACATTTTGCACCATTAAGTTGTTCAATTTATAAATCCCAGGAGAATGAACACTTGTGCTTATATCAATTTCGGGATTAGTCATGTGCAGTTCAAGATAATACGAAACTTTCGAGTAAAAAAAAGAAATTCCACAAAATTTCTACAAAATGTAATATTAATAACATATCGAGTATAATACATATATTAAACTTTGATCACCTGTAAGTTTTCAGTTACGTTTCAGTTCAAGTTTTCAGCTTAAGCTTTCAATTCATTTAACGATAGTTTAAACCCATGTAAAAATATTTCTGTTGGAAGAAAATTAAAACTTTCAAGAACTTAATTAAATTGAATACAGATGTATTATGCTCGTATTAATTAATATTAAATCATCATCTCGTAATATACGTGCTTATTGTTGAAAATTAGAAACATAAAAGTCAAATAATTTACAGTGTGTAACATTATTTGTATATTCAACTCCTCTAATATTAGTTCTCAATCTCCCTATATGTATCTATATATCTTGTTCAAATTTTCAAGCGGTAATAAAATGCTTTCTATTCATCCATTCAAGTTCAAATATATTTTTGTAAACTTGTGGTGGATGACATTTGATTTTAAGCTTAATTAATGAATAAATAGTAACAAACAAAAATAATAGTCCAACATATATGAAAAGGAAAATAGCTCGTTGTGTACCTGTAGCATAATGGATAGCGCATTGGACTTCTAATCCAAAGGTCGTAGGTTCGAATCCTACCTGGAATAGCCCAATTTCTGAGAACGTGATTTATGAATGAATATAAATAGTAACAAATACACAAAAATAGCTGTCCAACACCATATATAGGAAGAAAAAGCCCTTTCTATTTTGCCACTTAATATTGTGATTCTGTCATATGTATATACATATTTATATTAATTGTGTAATGATTTAATAAAAAGTAACTAAAATAAAAATTTTCTTTGTTGAGCTAAGTGGAAATTGACTTAATTTTTTTATATTACTTGTTTTAATATTACATTAATTAAATTATTTGTATTTGATATAATTATACAGAACAACAGCGAATTTTAACTGATGTGCTGTGAGAATTATATTAAAATTCATAAACGAAATGTAAAAAAAAAAAAACGTAAATGAAATTATTTTCGAAACAAGTTAAAAGCACTGTAAGTGTACGGATAAAAACTAAAATTTATTGTACTAAGAGTGATAGAATGTCATACAATTGAAATAAATAGCATGATACAACACTGAACGTTCATAGAACTTCATTTTCTCTACATTATATCTGTAGAAAATGACTTCAGAGTATGGCAGTCTTTAAAACTCAATATTACGTAGATGTTTTAAAAACATCACCGATATCAACATAACGATATCACATTAAATGCTATGATGAACAACAAAACACAAATTTGGAAAAATGTTTCAAAACAATTTTGTGTGAATCATTGTTTTGTTACAATTAATTACATGGTACTTTATTTTTTTTAGCGTTTCTAATACAAAATTTTGTTAGTGATTTTGTTCCTACTGTATTAAATTACTTCATTTTAAAATTAAAATAATCAGGATACTTTTCCCGAGTACTTTATACTTTTAATACTTTTGATTTACTGATTAAAGAAAAAAAAAGATATATATTTTCAAACCGATTAATGAAGTATTATTTTTGCAACAAATTTTTCAGATTAAAAGTAGCAAAATTCATTATACTAATCCTACATCTGCTCCATTAAAAATTCTAAAGGAACATCAAATACTAAGTAAATAATTATAAATGCTTTTAGATATTTAATCAAAATGTACTGATATTTGAAACAAGGAACTAAAATAAACTATAGATGATGATATTTAATAACAGATTTCAAAAAGTAAAAATAATTCAATATTCTTGCTGCATTTAAAAAATTGAAATTGAATCAGATGGAAGCCAAAAGGAAAATGTGTTATGCTTATTTTTAATAATTTGCAGCATTTTGAAATAAACTTCGATTATGAAGGATATTTTAAGTGAAAGAAGAAAAACAGATCTACAGTATAAAAAGCCAAAATAATAAAGTTCACGAAATATATACATTGGTTTGTTCGGAAAGTAATTTCGTTTTTTTGGGAAAATGAAATACAGTTTTCGTATAATAAACAAATACTTTACTAAATTATATATTGGCCGTTCTGGTCCAACACCTTTTGCCTTCTTTCTGGTAGTAGCTTAATTCCACGATCATAAAATTTCTGGTCTTTGCTGGCAAAAAATTGATTGAGGTGGTGTTTGACCTCCTCATTTGAGGTGGAGGTTTTACCGTCTAAAAAATTTGGAGTGACCGGAACAAATAATAATCCGATGGTGCCAGTTCTGGAGAATATGGTGGGTGTTGCATTATATCCCATTCAAGCTGTTGACGAGTGATAAAACTTGTGTGAGGCCTCTCGTTTTCTTGGTGAAGCACTACACCTTTCCTGTTGATTAATTCTGACCTTTTCTGTTGAAGTGCATCATTCAGTTTGTCCAGCTGATGACAGTAGACTTACGAATAAATCGTTGTGTTATCCGGTAAAAGCTAAAAAAAAAGATCCCCTTAAAATCCCACCAAACAGACAGCATCCCCTTTTTTTGGTGAATATCGGCTTTGGAAATGGTTTGAGCCGGTTCATCTTTTTTGCTCCATGACCTTTTTCGTCCTCAGTGATGATGCGCTTCAAAAACAGATCATTTTCGTGACGTTTGAGAAGCGAATCGTAGACGTCAGTGCGGCGACACAGATTTCTCTCTGTAAGAACATGGGGAACCCATACATCGAGCTTCGTGGATAATCCCAGGTCTTTCAAGTGGCCATAAACTGTTGGAGTTGATAAATTTAACCTCAATCCGATCTCACGTGTTGTTATTCGCCGGTTCGCATCAACTAATGCCTTTATCGCGTCTTTATCAGCTTCAACCGGCCTTCCCGAACGTGGTGCATCTTCGACATCAAAATTGCCGGATCGAAATTTAGCGAACCAGTTCTGGCACTGGCGTACTGTCAACGCACCTTCTCCATACACATCGGTCAACTTCTTTCTGGCTTGAACAGCATTTTTACCCTTTCTGTAGTAAAACAGTAAGATATGTCGAAAATGCTGCTTATCGCTCTCCATATTTAAAAGGGCACCAACCAAAAACTACTGCGAAGAAATAATTGGAATTTTTCACACACAAGTCTTGCTGTATGAGCTCTCTAAGCATATAAAAATTATACGGCTTAAATGCGAAGTTGGGTGCAAAAACATACAATTAAATCCTCTGTCGGGAATAAACGAAATTACTTTCCGAGCAACCCAATATATGAAGAACCATAATTTTTTTTGAAAATTTGCGAAGGGAAAGCACGCAAACAAATTGAGTAAAAAATTAAAAAAGATTAGTAAAACTAATTCATTCAATTTTCTTATAACAAACATTCAAAGAAATTCTCTTAAGAAGTTCAGTTTTCTTTTAAAAATCCTTTATTTTCTTGCGTGTGAGTGAATGGTTATGAAAGAGGCTCTATAAAGCAACGTGATGACTATTAGCGAAGGACTTTGCCTTTTAAACCTTGATCAAGTGATGAGGGTGACACCTGAACCATCATCCACCTCTCCAAAGTACTTCAACACGCCACGGGATGACTTTGAACCTCGACAGGTTTATCGTGCATCAGCATCTCTACATGAAGGGTCTTCAGTGACATTGAGAATCAAACTCATGATAAACCGGCCACGAGCCCCTGACCATGACAACTCGGTCACCACTTCCCTTTTCTTGTGAAGACTAAAACATTAGGAATTTTTAAAACAGAAAAGCAAATAAAATTAAACGAAGGAGATTATTGATAACATTTTGTAGCTTACACTTTAGGTCGATTTTCATAATTTTCTTTAGGTCCAGCTTAAGGCAGTTTATAAAATATACGTTGAGAATTAATCCAAAAAGTATGAATTCAGTTTTTTCATTTTCAATCAAATTTACTGTTCCAAACAATACCGCGATATAAGAAATGTAAATGAATTTTCAAAATCCTTTTATGTAAAACAATAGTACTTCACGGAAATTATTTATATATATAGTCGGACCTCTTTATAACGAAGTCGCTAAATCCCGGAAAAAAGTTCGTCATATAGAAAATTCGTTATATAGAGTTTCATCTTTTAATATACTTTATAAACCACATGAAACAAATTTTAAATTAATAAACACTATGTATTAAAAAAAGTTATTATTCACACCTTTTTCAAAATTAATATATGTTTATTTTATATATCTTATCCATCAAGCACAAAAAAAAGGGAAGAAAAACTGCAAGGGAAAAAAGAAAAAAAGAGTGTCGAAGTGTTTCTTCAATATTAAGAAAACAATTTTATATTCGAATTAATGAATTTTAAGGAAATTTTCTAATTTAAAGCATAGAAATAATATTAAACATACATTATTTTATAACTAGAACACCGGGACACGGAACAACTCCACTGAATGTTTCTAGTGAACTGGACAATGGCAGTTAAAGGTTGCACTTCTTGGATGAAACACCCGCAATTCTCTTACTCTCGGCGAGTTAGACACATAATAAAACCAGTACTAAATTTAAGACTACCATAAAATGAGTTTAATGAGAGAATATAACTTGAAATATTCAGAAATACTTTAAAAATAAGGAGGGAAAAAATTGAGCTCCTAAGCTGATCTCTGCTCAGCAAAAGTAACACATTGTTAAAAGTTTTGTGTAATGAACGCTTAAAATAGTGTAAATAATTTTTTATCTGAAAGTATAATACATTAATATTACTTTCTGTAGTATTTATTTTATGTTAAAATTGTAATATTCGCAAGGAACGCCGTTTCTTAAATTATAATGACGATCCAATGAAAAACACAGCGAAATGTTAACGATACAGTCAAGTTGGTAAATGTCTAGCTACTTTCATAACTCGAGCTTTGTAAGACCCGCCGTGTAGGGGCGCGATGCACGCTAATACTTTATCCAACCGCATTATGATTTACTGCAGTTTTTTTCATAAATATTTTTTTTGGATCGCTACATTTAAAATTAAGGGATATACATAAACAAAATACTCCACTTTGGAAAATTTAATCCGTTAGAGCTAATAAATTAAATAAAGATATTCCACTGTAAAATTAATTATATATACCGTTCACTTAAAATAAGTTGTCAAATCATTTTCTAAGGTCTTCATTAACATACAAAAACATAAGACACTTAAATTTTGACAAACTATTTTTTCCGCTAAAATACTTATCATGGAACCCGTGCTGCCATATATCTTGGAAGAGTGGATTTCAAAGAATATTCCTGCTAATTATTGGTAGAATATTCCTTCTAAGTTGGTGTGGTGTGGTAGTTAGGAGAAAGGGGTGCCAGCTCAGATGTCGTCCACGTTACTTGACTATTGTTCAAAATTACGTGATCCGTTGCCAAAAGCCCTCGTGTAGCTGAACAGTGCAACATTAATATTCACTCACTCCCACACTCCAAGAAATACAGAACAATAGTTATTGCGTTTTTAAGTGTAAAAATAATTATATCTGCCTATTCAATTAAAATTATAGCGTTATAATTAACTACTAACCACAAATAAATTTTGAAAATTTGTCCAAATGATGCAGTGTGAAATAGAAAGCTTATTTAATTTAAGTTTCAGAACTGATAAAAGCATTTATTTGGAAAAAAGACAAATTTCTTACTACCAAATGTGCATAATAAGATGTTAAAAAATCATTAAAATA